TTCGGGTTCAGGTTATGCAAGTTCTCATTGACTTGCTGCAATGCCGCCACCATCTGAGCCAACAAATCATTCGGGACATTTTGACTTGCCCCTCTTCCTCTTCCTCTTCCTCTTTCTCCTCCTACCATGGGTACCTGTACTCACTCACTTGTCAGTAATTGAATTTTCTCTAAACCAAGTCCACATAACCACTTAACAATTAGTACAAATCAAACAATTTCAGCACATAAAGATTTCAAAGAAGCATGAAAGGCCATATCCTAAGCTGCAGGGTTAACTATGCTCTAATACCATATTGTAAAACCCAAATTCTACCCTTAAATTTTTTTCCTTATTTTAATCCACTTTCGTGCATCTTTCTATAAATTATATTTACCAATAAAATAACCTTACTTTAAAATCTTATTTTCCCCTTCATACTCAATCCATGAACCAATAACAATATGCACATTCGTTTGACAGAAAAACAAAAATTCATATTTATGCCGCACAGTAACTACCGCATACAACTAGCTATGGGTTTCTAAAACACCCATAGCTACAAATATCCAGAGTTACCATTATCCATGTACAAAAATCATGCCCATAGTTACAAATAGTCAGTTTCAGAATACAATCAATTAAATTACAAAAAGAATGGACAATAGGGATTAAAAAAAAAAAAGCCTCTGAGCTCCTAATCAAAACATCCTTCTCCTCCCACCTAGCTGCAATGGGATTAACATTGACCATACACAGAAAACAAAAAAGAGTAAGTCGTTAATGTAATAATTGTCAATGTACATTAATCCACATTTTAATAAAGTTAAGTAAACAATTTAAAATCAAATATACTTAAAACCATTTTCATCGTTTATACTTTTGAAAACCATGCTACATAACTTGAGCCAAAGTTTGCTACATCACTTGAGCCAAAGCTTGCTACATCGCTTGAGCCAAAGCTTGCTATATCTCTTGAGCCAAAGCTTGCTACATCGCTTGAGCCAATGCTTGCTACATTACTTGAGCCAAAGTCGCTAACCAATCATTGTCGGCTAAAAACGATTTTTATTTTCATTGACACTCCATCAATTCATAAATAGTAAATCCACACCATCGTTATTACAAACATACCCATATATGCTTATAATAATTAATTGGTTCACAACTCAATTCATTATCTACAACCAGAAAATCCACGCATTTTCTATCACAATGCCTAAGTTAAGACTTATCCTTACCTCAGTGAGTGTTGGGTTTGGTTCTTGGCAACTTCGCAAGTTCCTCCGACACCGCCTCCAACTTTAGGATCTTTCCTCATTCCCTCCATATAACACAATGTTAGTCATTTATTCCAAATATCACATAAACAACTTATATTGCATTATTTAACCATGCAAGATATTTAACATACTTTCAATGTTTCTAAACTACTTTCATCATAAGTTTACAACATCTAAAACATACATATTCATCTCATATTTCAACATAAGAATGCATACTCATCTTCTACCTCTAGTATTTTACCCATTTCCCACTTTAACCACATTTTCACTTTAGGGGTTTTGGGGTTTTCATGAATCAACCCACAAACCTTTTCCATTCTTGAAATACTAACTCTAAACCAAGAGTTTACATGAGAAAAACAACATTAAACGAACCATAACTCAAAAGGGTGAGTTTCCATGGTTTCCCACATTTTGAGAAGAGATCCAACATACCCAAAATGAATTTCAAAGGGAAGAAGAGAGTTAGAATCAAGAGTTTTATCTCTTCTCAAGCTCTTAGATGAGAATCAAAGCTCCTTGCCCTTGGAAAAGCTCTCTTCTCTCACCTCTCTTCAATTCTTAACCCTAAAATGTGTTTGGGGGATTTCTCATTTAATGCAACTCGTCGGGTTCTTGCTTCAGCGAGCTCATTCTCGCTCAAGCGAGAAAATCCGACCCATTTTAAAAACTCAGATCTGACCCTCTCGCCCACGAGAGGGAACTCTCGCCCAGGCGAGGCATATCTTGCTCAAGCGAGGATCCTCTCGCTCAAGCGAGGATCTTACAGCCTCGACAGGTCCAAACATCACTTTTCTCGCCTAGGCGAGCCAGCTCTCGCTCAGGCGAGCCAACTCTCGCCCAGGCGAGCCAACTCTCGCCCAGGCGAGATCACTCTCGCTCAAGCGAGCCAACTCTCGCTCAGGCGGGAATCCTTAATATATCCCAGGATTTCACCCTCCTAGGTGAGTCTTTCTCGCCCAGGTGAGAATCCCTCGCTCAAGCGAGAATTACAGGACTGATACTATACTTTAAAGGGTTAAATTAAGGGTGTTACATTCGCGAAATCAAGGTTGATGTTGAGGTTGTCCACAAGATGAGATTCGTTATAGATCCTGTCAATCGTCGAACCTATAAGCATCGTACCAACCGCCAACCTGCTCCTACCGACGAACCACAACCTACTGCTGAACTAAACCAACCTGAATCTCATGCTCCATCATCTTCATCTGCTGCAATGCCCACAAATCAGATGATTATGGATGAATTGATTTCTCTTCGAGGCTACATCACCACAAGGATGGATGCTTTCGATTCCCAGAGCCAACAAATCCATTATGAACTTCATCATCTTTCATCGAAGCTGAGCAACATGGGTGTTGATAAAGATAGTTCTGAGCCCGAGTCTTAGAAATTTTGTCTAGGTTTCTGATTATGTAATGCTTATGTCTGTGTATTTTCCATGTGGATTTTTAAACATTGTTTGGATTATTTTCTTGTTATTTTCTGCTGTTTTGGATAATTGCGTGTATGAATATCTAAATTGCTTTAGTTATGCAATGTTTTTCAGATTATATTTTCATACATGGTCTTATATATATATCTGCTTATATTGTTAAAAAAATTCATATCCTATGAAATATTGTATGCTATGCTCTACAAATGTCTATTGTGCTAGACTCTTGGTTTTCCTTCTTTTTGATGAAGTCAAAAGGGGGAGAAAAGTTGGGAGTAGTGTATTTTCTGTATTATTCTTTCAGGCACATAACTCCAAAAGAAAGGGGGAGCATACATGCATACATATAGTGGGAGCATACTCAAGACAAGTCAAGATATATCATCAAGTATGCTGCTCTCAGAAAACTACACTTTCAAGAAGACATTGGTTTGTCATCATCAAAAAGGGGGAGATTGTGAAGAAGATCTTGCTCCTGACCTTGGCACGATTTTGATGAAGACACCAATATCACAAAAAGAAGAAAGGAAGAAGACCTACAAAGACTATCGAAGACGAAGCTTCAAAGAAATAGAGTCTAAGTCTTAGGTACTTCTATCCTTACAACTAATTTATTTACTTAGTTAATAAAGCTCAAAATTGTTTTCAAGAGAATTAGAAAAATCTAAGTGTGTGAAAAATAATTTTCAAAAACAACATGTAACGGGTTACCATACTTGAGTAACAAGTTACATGAGTGAGAAAAGAGTTTTCAAACCTCTAACAGCTATGAGTAATCCATTACTGACTTTGGAGTAATAGATTACCATTTTTAGAAAACAGGGTAATCGATTACTCCAAGTAGTGTAATCGATTACACTAAGGGAAATTCACAAAGTTGTCAAACAATGTCATTGAGTAATCGATTACTCAAATCCAGTAATCGATTATACTATGTGAATTTTCAAAAAGTTGTTAACAGGATTGTTGGGTAATCGATTACCCACTTGCAGTAATCGATTACTGAGAGCTGTTGTATCAGTTTTCAGAGTTCAAGTGAAAGTGTTTCACTCCAAACTAATTGCTTTTCATTCCAAATGAAACCTACTCATACCTAGGGGTATTATGGTTGATTGGAAGCCTATATAAAGGCATTCAAACACTCTCACAAAACAGAACAACATACAACACATATACAAACAACTCAGATTTCAAACTCTCTATAAAAGCTCTCACACTTTCTGATTTTTCTTACACTTTTCAAGCAACCTACTCTTAAACTTTCAAAGTTATTTTGAAGTTGCTTCTAAGTGTTTTTCATACTGTTAAAGAGCATTATTACCTCAAGTATAAAGAGTTGTTATTGGATTGCAAGTTGTACAAATTGGCATATACGCTTGTAAGGCAATCCAAGCCAAATTGTACATTCTTCACTTTTGCAAAGTTTAATTTCTTTCACAAGGGTGTGAAGAGAAAGGGGTTGAGTAACTTGGTACAGTGTTTACCAAGGGTGTGACTTGTAATAGACTTTTCCAAGGGATTAGATATAAGTGAGTGTGTAATGTACAAGGAGATCTCGGGGTGAGATATTTGTAATTGCAACTCATTATATTTAATAAAGGAATCTCTTGCGCGTCAAGAGTACTGGACGTAGCCTTCGGTGGACAAGAAGGTGAACCAGTATAAAACACCTGTGTACTCTCTTTCCCTTCTCGTTGTTAATTTTCTATCCTTCCTAGTCAATATGTTTCTGCATAATATTTCCGCTGCACATTAACTTTGATATTGCAGAAAAATTAGCCATACTTATTGCAACAACTAATTCACCCCCCCCCCCCCTCTTAGTTGAAATCTCATTCTTACATCGTTGTCACATGCTCTAATCCTCTAAGCTACAGGCCCCACCCCATCTCCACAGGATCTGTTCCCTAGAGTACCCTAAAAAGGGAAGTTTTTCTCACACGAACCAATTTCGTCTTAAGAGAGAAGGGATTTCGTAATTGGGGTTTTCCGCAGGACCTCCACTACAGTAACGTCATTATAGTAAAATTTAACCACCAAGTTCGGGATGGATTGGTGTGGTTCCTCTACGCCTAGGACACTAGAATATCGAATCATGAACGAATAAAGGCATGAGACAAAAAAAGCATATTGGCTATTCATTGTGAGGCCCTAATTCTTGACTAAAGGGGACACTAAAGACCTTTTCCCTTGCATCCCTTGGATAGATGGAGAGGGGGGCAGATCTTTTGGTTTTTTCATGTTTTCAAAGAATTGAACAATGAAAATAGATGGTGAATGCCTTACCCGAATCGATCGGGTCATGTAGGAAAAAGGTTAAATTCTACCGGTCTGTTAGGATGTCATTGTTGCATACATCACTGCACTTCCACTTGACACCTATCGTTAATGAGAAACGGCTCGTCTTGTCGTGACCTTCTCTTGAATTCTCAAAAATTCTTTCGCTCCATCCCTGTAGGGGCAAAGAACCCATCGCTGTCTCGGCTGTGCTACCGGAGGCTCTTGGGAAGTCGGAATAGGAGAGCACTCATCTTGGGGTGGGCTTACTGCTTAGATGCTTTTAGAAGTTTTCCACTTCGCACTTCGCTACCCAATGTTTACCATGGGCACAATAACTAGTACACCAGGGGTGCGTCCTTCCTGGTCCTGTCGTACTAGGGAAAGGTCCCCTCAATGCTCTAATGCCCACATTGGATATGGACCGAACTATCTCACGATGTTCTGAAACTAGCTGACGTACCGCTTTATTGGGCGAACAACCCAACCCTTGGAACATACTACAACCCTAGGTGGCGAAGAGCCGACATCGAGGTGCCAAACCTTCATGTCGATGTGAGCTATTGGGGAAGATCAACCGGTTATCCCTAGAGTAACTTTTATCCGTTGAGCGACGACCCTTCCACTTCTTACCGTCGAATCACTAAGGCCGACTTTCGTCCCTGCTCGATGTGTGGGTCTACAGTCAAGCTCCCTTTCGCCCTTGCACTCGAGGGCCTATCTCCGTCCGGCCCGAGGAAACCTTTGCAACCCTCCGTTACCTTTTGGGAGGCTTACGCCCCATAGAAACTATCTACCTGAAACTGTCCCTTCGCCCATAGGTCCTGACACAAGGTTAGAATTCTAGCTCTTCTAGAGTGGTATCTCACTGATGACTCGAGCCCTCCCCCCCACCCCCCCCCCCCCCCCCCCCCCCCCCCGAAAGGAGGCCTTCTTCGCCCTCCACCTACGCTACGCAAGAAAAGCCCAGAGAGTAGGGGCCTATAGCTCATCTTCGGCGCAAGATGTAAGAATGAGATTGAAACTAAGAGGGAGGTGAATTAGTTGTTGCAACTACGCAGTCTGTCAGCTCCGAACCAAAAATCCGAAATAACCCTTTTTACTATTTCTTTTTTATTTTTTGAGGTTTATTATTTATTTTTCAAGGTTTATAGTGAAACTGTTTTGCATTTTTAACATAGTTAGGCTTTGAATTTTTTCTTGAAACTTTTTGTACATGTTCTATAAGATTTTAGGATGTTATTGATGCAAATACTTGGTTGATTCTACAATTATAACATGAATTTCCATTACTGCTGCATTACTTTCTTCCTATTGTTGACTGTAATGCATGACTAGGAGGAACACATGCATTTTGCATTCAATAAATCTCGAAATTGATAGAACATATCATAGGTTAGTTAGACAAAATAGGACTTTAGATACTAATTTTGTTTCTGTTTCTGAACATCCTGTAGCTGAAAATACTGCTTCTGAGCATTCTGTTTTTGTGCATTCTGAATATAGTGATTTTGTGCATTCTGTTGCATTTCCTAATTTTGACCATTCAGTCCATTCTGAAAATATGGCTCAGCCACCTACTCCTCCTGGTCCCCGTGAGAGGACATTAAGGTTGTTGGCTGCCCCTGATTTTACTTATGACAGTTTGTGTATCCAATATGAGGATGTACCATATGTGCTTAAAACTGGACTAATCCATTTGTTGCCTAAGTTTAATGGACTTGCAGGTCAGGATCCTCATAAACATCTTAAGGAGTTCCACATTGTCTGCTCAACCATGAAACCACATGATGTTATGGAGGATCACATTTGCCTAAAGGCCTTTCCTCATTCACTTGAAGGCCCTGCAAAGGACTGGTTGTACTATCTGGCTCCTGGTTCCATCACAATTTGGGGTGACTTGAAGAGGTCATTCTTGGGTAAATTCTTCCCTACATCCAGGACCACTGCAATCAGAAAGGACATATCTGGAATTAGGCAACAACATGGTGAGAGCTTGTATGAGTACTGGGAGAGGTTTAAGAGATTGTGTGCTAGTTGCCCTCATCATCAGATCTCTGAGCAACTCCTTCTGCAGTATTTTTATGACGGACTGAACAATATGGATAGGAGTATAATTGATGCTGCTAGTGGTGGAGCACTTGGGGACATGACTCCTTTTGAGGCAAGAAGTTTGATTGAGAAGATGGCTTCCAATTCTCAACAATTCAATGCAAGGAGTGGTGATGCCATAGTTGTAAGAGGAGTCCATGATGTTGGGACAAATGCAGCAAGGCAAGACAAGCTTGAGACTAAAATTGATTCCCTCACCACCTTGATCACCCAGTTAGCCATAAATCAGCAAAAATCTTCAATGGCAAGAGTATGTGGCATTTGCACCTCAAGTGATCATTATAGTGATATGTGTCCTTCTCTGCTTGAGCCAAGAACTGGTGATCATCCTGAGGCGTATGCTGCAAACATATACCACAACAGACCTCCACATCAGCAGCAACATTATGATCCACCCTCATCAAGCACATACAATCCTGGTTGGAGAAATCAGGCACCATTTCAGAACAATAATGTTGGGCAGAATAGATCATCATATGTGCCCCCACCAATCCAACAACAGAGGCATCAAATGATTAACACTCTTGCACCTACTGAACCCTCTTTGGAAGAATTGGTGAGGCAGATGACAATGTAGAACATGCAGTTCCAGCAAGAAACCAGAGCTTCAATTCAAAGACAAGAGTATTCAATTCAGAATCTAACTACCCAGATGGGGCAGATGGCTACTTCACTGAACACATTGCAGTCACAGAATTCTGACAAGTTACCTTCTCAGACTGTGCTTAACCCAAGGAATGTGAGTGCCATCACCCTCAGATCAGGAAAGCAGACTGAAGTGCCTACACCTAGAATAGATTTTGGTCTTCAAAAAGAACATGATGCATCAAAAAGGAATAAATCTGTTTTAGAAGAAAATGAGAATACAACAAGAGAAACTCATGCAAATCAACCTTCCTCAAGTGCTGCTCAACAACCATTTTCCATTCCTCTTCCATTTCCACAAAAAATCATTTCAACCAAGAAGATGGGGAATATGGAAGAGATGGACAAGGACCTCTTGGATACATTTACAAAGGTTGAGGTGAACATACCTCTCCTTGATGCCATCAAGCAGATTCCGAGATATGCCAAGTTTTTGAAAGAATTGTGCACTCACAAGAGGAAGCTGAAAGGTAATGAAAGGATCAACATGGGAAGGAATGTTTCTGCCATGATAGGTATGCCTGTTCCTCACATCCCTGAAAAGTGTAAGGACCCAGGTACATTTACTGTACCTTGCATCATAGGTAATAGAAAATTTGAAAATGCCATGCTTGATTTAGGAGCATCCATTAATGTTATGCCTATGAATGTATTTAGATTCCTTTCACTTGGACCCTTGAAACCTACGGGTGTGGTAATCCAATTAGCAAATAGGAGTAGTGCATACCCTGCCGGTTTGGTAGAGGATGTCTTGGTTCAGGTTGATCAACTGATCTTTCCTGCTGATTTTTACATTCTTGATATGGAAGAGGGATCCCCTAGTAACACAGTTCCAATTATTTTGGGGAGACCATTCTTGAGAACAGCCCGAACCAAGATCGATGTCCATGCTGGGACACTTTCTATGGAATTCGATGATAAAGTGGCTCGGTTTAACATTTTTGATGCTTTAAAGCATCCATCCGAGGGCCACTCTGTTTTCCACCTTGATTTGCTTCATGAGTTCAATGATGCACACCTTTCTAATTTTCTTCATGATTTTCATGCTCCGTCATTAACTGATTCATACACTTGTCATGAATGCACTAATTCTGAAACATGTAGTTTTTGCATTGATGAGTTTTTGAACATTGATATTGACATTGATGTTCCTTGCATTTCATTGTACACTTGCCATGCATGCACTGATTCTGAGCGGTGTGACTCTTGTATTGATGATTTTCTTAATATTGTTGTTGATTCTCCTGTTACACATTCACATTGCACTAACACAATTGATGCAGGAATCACACAACAATCTGATTTATTTGTTCAGGTGCAGGCTGCAACAAAGCCTAGCTTTGCTACTTTCTTTCCATCTGTTTTGCAGGCACCTGATTGGACACCCCCATTTGACCTTGAGTGCGACATTGCTATTTATGCTTTGGGGATTGTCCTTGCTAGTTATGAGTTTGATTTCCTCCCTCCATGATTAAGGGAGTTTTTCTTTCTTTCTCTCCTTCCTTACTTTTTATTGCACTTGTCCAATTACAATTTCTAATATAACTGCGTGGATATTCTGGCTGTGTTCCATTGGGACAATGTGTAGTTTAAGTGTGGGGGTGGAGACTAATGTAGGTTTATGTTGATGCATGATTTTCTTTGATTCTTAGATTTTGCTTAGATTTTGGGCATTTTCTCTCATGCTTTGTTTTACTTGATTCTTGATATTGTGTTGTGAATCCATGCATTTTCTGTGTGTTAAGTTACTTTTGAGAATTGAGAGGTTGAGGCAATTGTGATAGTCTTGTCCCTTGTGAGATTTTGAGCCTTAATTGAGGATGGATTGATGTATGCCATCTAGTATTCTTTCATGTGTGATTGTTGCACTCTTGATTACTTGCACTCTATAACTTGACATGTTTCTTGTTGATACTTGATTTTCATATTGCACATTTTGAAGTGATTTAGGCATTTCTTTTGAATAAGCCACATGCCATATAGCCTACCTTGAATGAAATCATCCTTTTGCTAGCCCCTTTGAGCCTTTTTCCCCTTTCTTTGTTATATAGCTCATTGCAAGCCTATAAGTGAAAAACCATGATTATCCTAACTTTAGGGAATTTTGGAGCTTTGGAATTGTTTTGGGAATGGGTATTAAAGTAAGGGTGCATTCTTCTTCATTTCTTATAATTTTTGGGTATGACTCATGGGTTGGTTAGTACATTTTTTTTTTGTACATAAGTGTGGTGTATTGAAAAACAAAAAGAAAAAAAAATAGCAAAAAGAGAAACAAAACAAAAGAAAAAGAAACAAAAATGAAAAAAAAAAGAAAAAAAAGTGAATAAAAGTTGAGTGTGGCAAAGAGGATTGAAATTTGAGTTTGAATATGGGGTTGATTTTGTCTTACTTTTTACTTATTCCTCATTGCTCCTCTATTCCCTTGGTTTTATGCTACATATTCCATACTTTATCCTACCTTGTCCTTGGCCCCATTACAATCTTGAAAAGTCCTTTTGATCAATATGTGCATGTGTTGGTCATGTTGATGTTAGAAACTTGTCAAGCTTATGGTTGTGTTTGTTTTCATGAAGTGCATTGAGTGTAAATAATTGCAACCTAAGACACATGAGTGTAAACACTTTAGAGAGCATATCTTGTGAGGATCTATCATTGTTGTGACTCACCTTTTGATTTGATTGGTTTCTTTGCATTCTTGAATTGATTGGATGATCTACATGGATATCTTGATTCTTGATCTTTTTATTCTAGTGTGTTTGATTTTGCCCATCTCTTTGCATTTCTTAGAATTCATTGTGAAGTATGCCATCTTTAGGATTTTTGATTTCCTAGTTTTTAATAATCTTCTTACATGACTCACTTTGTTGCACTAGTTAGCATAGCATTATTTCTTGATTTTGCCCAGGAGTGCAAAAGGTTAAGTGTGGGGGTATTTGATGAGTCAAATATTACACACTATTAATAACCTTATTTTACCATTGTTAATGATTCTTGGTGTCTAATTGACTTTATTTGGCATTGTTTAGTGTTTTAGGCTTTATTGGACTATTATTTCTAAAATGAGTTAATTTGGGATTATTTAGCCTAATTAAATCTAATTCCATTTTCAGGACATGTTTGGCACCAAGGACATTTTGGGCATTACAAGTGGAAGATGTGTGCTAAAGTGAAGATTGTATTTAGTTATAGGATTTTTAATTCCGTTTTAGGTTTTGGGCCCATTGTTTAAGGCCCATTTCGGTTTTACCCTTTAATAAGCTTAGAATTTCGT